ACGGAAGGTGAAGTAAATCATTTGTCAACCACTCTAGTATAGATAATTTTTAATTTTTTTACTATCATGAAAATCGATGACATCCATGACAATACAATATCCACCTGCGTGACCATATAGGATTATTACATATATTTATGCAAAGCGAATGAGGTAGATATAATAGATAGGTATTAATACATAGTACATACTTTATAATAATACGTTTAATATGAGTAACATAATAATATTAATAATATTAATTTAATACAGAACAAAACAGGTGGCGAAGAGCCGACGATGGTACAGATACATATTACTGGTCTATCATGTCAATAGTACAACAACAACAAAGGAACCGCCTGACAAATTTCTTTGTCTGGCACCAAAATGAACGACGAGGACGTCTGTGTCTCGGACTTTCCGGTTTCCGTACATCGCTGGTGACCTGCTGAAACTTTAGATTTGGCGTTGATCTCCACCCAATATCTGCAACTGTCTCGCCAGCTAATGGATGTACGGGGATGTTTGGCTCAGATACACAGAGCCTGCCATCCAAAAAACCTTTGGAATCAAAATTTTTCGACGATTTCGGTCTTCGTATATCATTGGTACGGTTAAACTTCAGATTTGGCGTTGATCGCCACCCCATATCTGCAGCTGTCTCGCTAGCTAATTTTGGATGTACGGGGATGTTTGGTTCAGATATACAGAACCTGCCGTCCAGAAAACCTTTGGAATCAAAATTTTTCGACGATTCCGGTTTACGTACATCGCTGGTGACCTGCTGAAACTTCAGATTTGGCGTTGATCGCCATCCAATATCTGTCGATTTGGCTGAGGAATTTTCACACATCGCGGTCATGTTAGGCATAGATACACATCTATATGACATATTTATTTGATAATATTATATAGGCAGAATTAACGGAGAAGATTATACAGAAATACGTAGAAATGAAATTTATTCGTAATGAACACAAGAAATGAATATTGACTTGTGGTAACTATGTGACACAGATATGAATTGTAGATTTTTGAAACATTCACGTACATGGTAACGATATTTTAGTTGTTTGTGTTGTTTTCTTAGAGCCAATATTAATAATGTTAATGAAGTTGAGAATTTCATAATGCTTTACCAAGAATTTTCGAAAACTAATTGGATTCGTGTTGGTCAGCTTGACAATCCATCAAGGTAAGTAAAAATTGTTCTCATTATTTGATTAATATTAATGTATAAGACATTTTGTTTTTCAGGGTCATGTTTCATAAATATTGCGTATGCAAGCACAGTAAGGTGACTTCATTAACATTATTAATATTGGCACTAAGAATCGAGGTCTTTTCATTTATATTAGAAACTTCATTTGATAGAACCGCAATGATATTATTATTTTTTAAGAACTTAATGAATTCATCCATTATGAATACAATATAATTGATTATTCAGAAATGCAGAAACAGAGAACTACCACCAACAAGTTAAATACCCAAACAACCAGAGCTTAAAAATACCTAACTAGTGAAAATGCTAAGATGCTTTAAGCACTAACAACTTAAAATTAAAAGTACAACTATAACAGAGATGTACAATTAAAGTTTAAACATGACAGCAAGTCAAAAATCAATTTAATATTCCTGTTGACAAATTAATAATAGCTGGTAGGTAGTCTGGTAGTCAATAAATAAACCATGTGACTATACTGTTATCAGTTTGATAAATTTAGATTATAATTTAGGAGCTATATCTACATATATTTTAGTGGCGACATAAATTAATTAATAATTAATAAACGAAGTAGGTACCAAGATGTAAATAAGATAAACTTCTGTTTAAATTTTTGATATTTAGGAAGTCATGTTGTATATTCAGAGCTCAACTGATGTGCCATGTGGTACCTGCAGCGATTGTTCCCAGCTTTTTCACCCCTAAATACTGTGCATAGACAGAAATTTAACATGCGCCTCGCATGGTCATCATAGTAAAAAAAAATACTTTAAAATATGTTGAATATGAAAAAACATTAATTTAGGACAATCAAATGCAAAATCCCATGATAGAGGTCATTGAACATATAACATGTATTTTTCATTGTTTTTACATAGTTTTTTTTCATTCGAATTAATATTTTATGACTTCATTATGAAGTTTATACTGGAATTACATTTAATTATATTATTATTTGTGACTAGGTATACTGTTATCAGTTTGATATATTTAGATTATAATTTATAATAAACTTAGTAAATGTAGAAGATAAACTTCCCTACATCATAAAATAAACAAAATTTAATGTAATATAATAACAAATTGTTTAATCGTTTGCTAAAATAATTGGTAAATCTGAGTTCAAAATTGTTACCTCATCAAATTATAATAAAATTGAATGGTATATTTTATAATAATTGCCATTATAATCTATATAGGAATTTGTAACACCTATAAAGGATTATCGGGTAGGTCCAATTTTTTTATTTTGTTAGTAAATTTTTGTTATTTAGGGAGACAGGGAGTCATGTTGTACATTCAGGACAATTAAATCACATTCAGAGCCCAACTGACTGCATTTTAACATGTGAGGTGGTCATCATAGTAAAAAAAAATACTTTAAAATATGTTCACAGTTTTAAATGTTTGTACAATTTTTTTTTTTTTGTCTAATATTTATATACTTTCAATGATCGTGTAACCCCTACCTACCTCTGACTATATAGGTAGACATGTATGTATTATTTTGTACCTACCTTAATATATTTTGTTTGCTTAATACTTGCATAACATTTTCATAGGCGCAATTTGGGTTGAACTTATGGGGTGCTAGATTTATATCGAAATAAATGGGGGCTTGCCCCACACATCCCCTTTCATTCATACAACTTTATTTTATACACGTTCTCATTAATCTTAATACAAATAAATACACTTTTACCTATATTATTATTCTGATACTTATGTATCATTATTCATTATTATTATGAATAGGTGTCTTAGAAATAATTGCATCCAAATACCTATGGCATAATTTTATAGTCAATAAAAATTCGATGATGCTATCAAAATTTTGGGGGTGCTTAAATAATTTTTGGGGGTTCTAAGCACCAAAAAGGCTCTCTATTTATTACATAATTTTAGCAACTCCTACATGCAATGTTTCATCTATATCAGTGGCGTTTTTCAATGGGGGGGGGGGGGCTTGAAAATAAGTTACAATTTAATTTTAATTTTATCCAGTCTAATAATTCCAGACGTTTATTTGAGGTATTTTAAAATGTTTGTAACTTCTCAACTTTTCTGGTAGAAAAAATGCTCTGATCATAAACTTCGATGCCCGTCGCCCGATGTATGTTTTTGGAAGAAAATTGGATCTAGTTGGTACTTTTAAGAGGTCAAAATTGAATGTTCAGCGTTTTCTAAAATAATTGGAGAAAAAAATGGAAATTTATTAAAATTGTTTGGTAACCAGCTTGTTTATACCGTAATCACGCGTGGATTTTATTTGATTAATTACATTTTTTTATTTTTATAAATGTCAATAAAAAATTATTTATTCAGTCAAAAATCTTAAAAATATTGTAATACGTAAGTTTTTATTATAGCTAAAATATTAACGATACATAGGCATCATGGTTATGTTTTATAAGCATTTAAAGTTCAAATTTCGTCAAAACCACAGTTAATTTGTAGATCAATAAACTTACAAAATATAAAATATGTATAGCTAAGGCTAGACAATTTAATACTGCTACGTCTTTCATACAAGTATAGTTCATACTTTTACCGAAAAATTACAGATATTTTATGAAAATTGGTATGCAAATACCTATTACATTGTTTTTTCAAAAATGAATTCATTCTAGTAAGACATAAATGGAATTTATGTATTGCTTATACTATAGTTGACAGTTGAAACTTGATAAATATATTTTTTTTAAAGTAATAATAATAAGGGCAATGGGGGGGGGGCTTCAGCCCGATAGCCCCCCCCCCATGCGGACGCTACTGATCTATATTATATACGTATGCATCATATCGTATTATATAAATATATAATGGATAATTAATATACCTAGTAATTAATCATTTACCTTTAACGTTTACATGTTTTATTGTTATGATAATATATGATGTCAATTATATTAACTATTAAGTACCTACTTACTTTAGATTAAGAGGACGTGATACCCGCATGTGTTGTCTCCGTCTTACAAGTGAGTAACATACCAAATTCTACGCTCAGCAGAACACGTGTGTCTCTGTTGGTTTAAAAGTTGGTAAATTGACCTATCAAATCTTTGGTAAGATTATTAACTAGACAACCTCATTGGCTTTTTATTATATTTTAATTTTAAAGTGAGCTATGAGTATTTTAAAATTGTAAATTGTTTTTACATCTTAAAGTACTCATAATTCGCTTAAAAATTAAATTTAATAAAAAGCTCATAATGTTGTCTAAGTAATAATCTAACCTTTAGATTTTATAAGAGGTGAATTTACTCTAATTATTAAATTTACGGAGTTACACGTGTTTGCTGAGCGTAAAATGTGCTATGTTGTGCACTTGTAAGACGGAGACATAACATCACGACCTCTTAAATGTTATAAGATAAAATGATAAGTGGTATTACTCTTTGAGAGTTAGTGATAGGTACATTCAATGAGTATAATAGGTGCCTGATATAATTGTGTAGGGACTAGAGTAAGTTTATAAAGAACAGGGCGTGGTTTGACAACAACAGGATTTGGACAATGTGTTGACTGTACTGCTAGCTGTAGTGCATAAGTATATTATATTATGTTATGCCCCCACCATAATAGTATATACCTACTGCGCCTAATTCGTATTTGTATTATACTCCAATTTTATTATTTGTGTGTTACATTCAGTTATGTGGGATTATAAAATTACGATCAAAGACTTATTTTTTTTAACTTTGTTTGAGAGGGATTCAATTTAATTATTTGTTGCAGTCGTTGTACGTGGTACCCATATTATATAATATACACTTACGACCACAAAATGGCAGATACAACGGTAGACATATGCCCCACGATAAACAAGGATCAGGTTGCGGAAATTTTGAAAAACGATTACGGATTTATCAATGGAAAAATCAAAGAATTGGATGGTTACGATGATAAAAACTATCACATTACAGTACGTATAATATGGTATAATGTATATTATTACTTGGTAGGTACTAGGTACCCTAGTTTAAACACATATGGTATACCCAATACCCATAAGGCAGGTATGTTACTACCATGAACATTAGAGGAAGGACGCCGAACTGTGTATATAAAAGTGGTCCGGAATTATCGCATTCCGCCAGAATGCGCGTCGGACCGTAATGATGTCGTTTTTACATGTACAGCATAGGGAATTTATTGGTTTTTTAATATTATATTCTAAATGGTTTAACTTATGAATAATTACTATAGAACATTTTTTAAAACCAAATTGCCCTCGATCGAATATATGTGTTTCCAATAATATACGACTTTTATAAAAAAAGATATAGTTGTTATCTCTTTTTATAAAAGTCGTATATTATTGGAAACACTTATATTCGATCGAGGGCAATTTGGTTTTAAAAAAATGTTCTATAGTAATTATTCATAAATTTCACCATTTAGATTATAATAATAAAAAACCATTAAATGTCCTGTGCTATACAATATGTAAAAACGACATCATTACGGTCCGACGCGCATTCTGGCGGAATGCGATAATTCCGGACCATGTTTTTACGCTTCGTTCTGCTGTGTTCGGCGTCCTTCCTCTAATGTTCATGGTTACTACCAAGCATGATTTAAGATAATATTATCTTAGTATTATCTTAAATCATGCTACCAAGATTGTTTATAATTTGAATTCACTGATTATATTTCACAAGCATTATGTAAATACAACCACAGAACTTTGTTCTGTGATACAACATACTGAATACTGATTATACAGATTAGGTTGATTTTTAAAGGTACGAATATACCATGTCCATTCATACATTCAAAAAAAGGTGTGAAGGCAGAGCTAAATCATAGGCTTTCAAATTTTCCTTATTAGTTATTACATACCGTATAGGTACAATATGTTTCGTATATGATACTATGGTGTATTACCATATTATTGTTCTATGGTATTACAGATCACTGATGAGTGATGACTAAAAAAAACTACACTTTGTCAGCTGTCCAGTCTCTTCGGCGGGAGAACGCGCTGAGTCCCGGCAAAAATCGGTTATTCAACAAGGTTCCTCATAAGTTGCTTCTAATGAAATTAAAAAAAAAGTTGAGCTTAAATTCACAATAAATTGTGTGAGGATCTGAAATTAGAATTTTGATAAAATGTTACTAATCTCTAATCACAATTATTTGGAAATAATGAGTTACCTAATAATTAAAAAAAATTTTCTTTTTTATACCTATATCTAATATTTGAAAATTGAATTTAAGATTCCTCATAAGTTTTTTATTATTTACAAAAACCAAGTTTACCGGAAAGTTATTTTCATTTTTTTAAAGTACCTATAGTGTTTAAATTTCAAATTGTTAAGTAATAGGATATTCATATTCACCCGATATATCTAGTTGAATGATTTTCATATTTCGGTATAACTCAAAAGCGAATAACCGTAGATATAGGTACTTAAAATTTTCCAAATGTAGATTTTATATACATCATAATATTATATTGAAAACATTTGGTTTATTTTGAGCTATTTTTAGAAATTAGGAAAGTCTTACGGAAAGTCAAATTAAATTTTTATAAACGTTTGATTCACTTGATTTCTCATTTAGCGATTCTCTTAATTTGTTGTAATTAAACTGTAGATACTTGATTTTAGCGGACTTTTTGTGACTACTAAATTTCAGTGACACTCAGTAGGTGGAAGAGGTGGGCTTGCTCCCACGTATTATTTTACACTTTGATTTTCTAGAACTCTAGCCCCGTAATTATTCAATCCTAGTTACGCGGGTACGGTACGCCTACCTAGTCGTGGGTACTTGAAACTTTTAAAGGATAAATACCTTTTATGATTATATATAATGTTTATTATACTCATATGCGTAATTTAGGGGGTGCTTAGCACCCCCAAATCGTTAATAACGTCATCAAATTTTTATTAAATATAAAATTATACCATAGGGATTTGGATACATTTATTTCAAAGACTTTATCATTTTCATAATAATAATTATACATGGGTATCAGAATAATAATATAGGTAAAAGTGTATTATGTTATAGGTAATTGTTTGTATTAAGATTAATACGAAGGTGTATACAATTAAGTTGTATATGAATGGAAGGGATGTGGGGGGAAAAGCCCCCATTTACCACTTTAGTCGATATAAATCTAGCACCCCCATAAATTTAACCCAAATTGCGCCTATGATTATTCTGAATACCTTTGTCAGTTGTCTATTCAAATCTTACCCCCCCCCCCCTCGTGAAAAAATCCTAGATACGTTACTGACTACTACACATTTTGCTAATGTTTAGCAGAGTTTACCACCTTTTTTAGGGTAATATCTTAAGGGCCAGTTGTACCGTCTATGATTAAGCTTAATCAGCTGATAACAGATATTTAAACAGGCAAATTCGGCCGATTAAATACTCTGATTAACCATAATCATAGATGGTATAATTCGCCCTAATATTGTAATAATATTATTCTGTGCTAATATTACTTGCATTTGGAGATAGCATAATATATTATATGACAATATATAGGTATTTATCTCGATTATTGATTAATACGCAATAATACCTCAGAATAAATTGTTTATACTTACCTATCAGTTATCTATTCATTCTTTATCAAAATATCTTAAGCAAATATATTGAATACCTAGTTAAATCTCATTAAGATGATCATTTTTCCTAAATTTTACATACCTACAGTAATAAAAAATTACAATATCGATTCTAACATTGAGTTCTGATACCACAGAATAAATGACATTGTATCTATTCTGTCTCAGTGAGACTGTGCCCATTGGCGCAACTACGGGGGGGGGGGGGTCAAAAGGGTCTCTAGCACCCCCAAGTTCTAATTTAGCACCCCTTGTTTTTTAGGTCTAACTAACATTATTATATTAAAATACCTACTATAAATTGTATGTTTTTAAAATATGAAATATTATAGCACCCGCGCCCCCGTTTTAGAGGTCTAGTTGCGCCTATGACTGTGTCTATAGTCTATTGTCTATATTATAATATACCTACTACCAAAACATTTTTTTTACTAGTTCACACTGATCTAGTTATTCTTATAAAATTAAAAATATGATCTACCTAGTACCTACCTAGACATAAAAGTTCTTCAACCTTTTAAAGTGTGATGCTTAATAACAATTTATCATCATAAATATAATATATTGATATTAGAATAATATCTATCATAATTCATAGGTATCACAAATGACAAATATCGACATAATATCGTGCATGTTATTTGCATGCCTAGAATCTTGATGTTTTCTAAATTATACTATAGGTACATGAAAATTAATTTAGAAAGTGGCGTATTTTAAAACTTTTTGTGGGGGCGGGGTGTCTATAAAAAAGTAAGTAACACGGAGACAAGTAAAATTCAAACTTTGTAGGTATTTAATTTGGCCATTTCATAAAACAAATTTATAAATTGGGTATCTACCTAGAATAATCTATAACCACTACTAAAAAACATACAATGCAAGAATAGTCCTGAACCATAAATATAAGTTATGAAAGTTATGAATTAATAATTTATTATTCCATTCTTTGGGGAGCGAAGTTTTCGAGACCCGAGAACTCGGGAACTCCCTGAAAATACGGCCACTAAATTTAGGTACCTCTATATGTAGGTCCTAGTTACTTTTTTATAGTCCTCATAATGACATAATACTTACATAATATAATTTATTATCCACATACACGATAAAGTAAAGGTTAGGTAGGTACTCTATCATGTAAATATGAACATATCTATGTATCAATGTATCATATTATACATTCATACAGACTACAGATGTATATAAATAATTATAATATTGTGCATAGAAATTTGGAAGCAATCAAATTAACTTTAATCTAAAATCATTTTTACTTCTGCAAGTATTAAATAAGTCATAACTCATAAATAAAAAAAAATCAATGTAATTATTATAGTCAAAATTCAACCTAACCTGCAACCTTAATTTGTATTTTGATGACATATAGGATGTTAAAAAATACACTGAAGAAATTGAATTTCCTACAGACGGAATAGTCATAAAATTCATAAATTCAATAGACTCGAAGAATTTGTTACTTCTAGATGCACAAACCAAACTAACTCAGCATCTTGGTCAGTATTTATTTAAGATAGTTATAAATTATTAAATATTTAAAACTTTTCTTTTACCTAGTTTATTTACATCCATAGGGATATTATGTACCTATACCATTTAGCTATGTTATTTTATTTTTTGATCCCCCTCTTTCAGAAATCATGTCTACTACACTGGTAATAATATGTTTAATATATTATAATATAATATGCCTATAAAATATTTTAAGAGTTAGCTAATACCTATAGGTACCTACCTACCAACCTACCTACTTAATTGTTTTTAAAAATAGAACGTTCTGGAATATATTGTCCAATACCTGTGTTCAATAAATATGGAGAAAGTTATCGGTCTTACATTCTAGGTAAGTGATGTAATAACTTTTTACAAATTTTACTATTTTACTGGCTACTTATTGCACTTTTACAAATAATCCATAATAAAAACTAAAAAGTACCTACTATAAACTAAACTTTAGAGTCTTATGCCTGTTTTTAAAGATAATAAAAGACACGCAGTCAGAGTCTACAAATATGTTAAAGGAGAAACTATGAATAAAGTTAAAATCAATTCTGAAATAACTACCAATTTTGGTTTTTATGTTGGTCATTTAACATCAATTTTAAAGGTAGGTTTAACATTTTTTACTTGATGTATAGGAGAATACTTATTAAAACTAAATTTATTATACAACTATTACAATGGTTTTTAGACATTTAATCATGATGGATTCCATCGAAGTCATATGTGGGCTCTAGAGAAATGTCCAGAAGTTCTAAAATTTGTAGAAGTTTTTGATCAAGAAAAACAACGACAAACAATAACCACAGTAATAAACAAATTTGAGTCTGATGTTTTGTTAAAAGCTGATCATCTTGAAAAAAGTTTGAGTTTATTTAAATAATATAATTATTGCTTTGTTTAAAACAAATTTGTATTTACAGGTGTTATTCATGAAGACCTCAATATGAATAATATAATCATGAAAGACAACGAAATAATTGGTATTATAGATGTAGGTGATGTTGTCCATTCATTCACAATTTTTGATTTTGCTGTAGCATTATGTTACCTAATTATGCATGAATTTAAAGACAATAATGCCAAGTTATCTAATATACATATTAAGAATTTTGTTCAAGCTTATGAAAAACAGTACAGAAATTTAAATGATTTTGAAGTCTCCATAATACATGTAATTATACAAATTAATAATTATTCATTTATTTTAATATTTCTAATTTTTAAATGACATGTTGAAATTATCCTATGTAGATTTACTATTATTCTTTTTACATATATTAATTATTGACAACCGAGAGTAATAGAATATACATAGAGTTACTTATGAGTTATGATATAAATTAAATGTACATTGCATTTAATTACATATACCTATGTAACAACTATTAAAATAAAATACAACTATTAATCTAATGGAAGTCACAATATTTAAATATGAATATAATTACTAAAACTAAATATATAATATGTAAACGATTAATTACCTATTTAAAATTCAAACATGAACAGTAAATTCTTAGATTCACATTACAGTAATTGAAGTCAAAATTATCAAGGTTTTTATAAACGTGAAGCATACAACTTTTAGGTTCATTAAAACTATACAGTTGTGTGTGGAATGACTCATAATAAGTAATCTCTTAGATCTGATGTAAAAAGTTGGAACCAACCAACCTATTTCTTTTAATATTTTGGTACATTAATATTACCTTTAAAAATTTTAAAAGAAACATCATAAGAGTTAAGTGTATTTGCAGCCTTGCAGGTACAATTCTAATAATAAAATATTAACAGTTTCTTTGACTAATATTAATTTATATAAAACTAAATTTATTTTTAAAATAGTAAAATAGTTTTGTCTTATATATTTATCTTATAACCATTAGTCAAATTGTAAGTCTCAAGTTATAATTGCATAGCTAATTGTTTATAATTATAATGAACAAATATAATAATTATTTGGTTACTCTAGGTATATGAACTCTTTTATTTAATTTCAGACTTGTGTATGTGCCAGAATTTGTCAAAGTTTAGTTTTGGGTAAAAAATCAAGCCTGAGAGATTTATCAAATAGTTACATACTATCTACACAGAAGAACGGGTGGAGAGCATTAGAAGAATTAATGAACATTGAAGACGACAAATTTGTTGTGTTACTGAAACATTAGCTTCAAGAAATTACATTTTAAATAATTTTTATCATTATTAATGAATTTAGTTTTACATCAAGTACAATAACAAATAACTTTATGGGTATTGTTATTTGATATTTTGTTAAATATCATAGCAATAATGCAATATATTGAAATTTATAATACCTAGGTATATACTTGTAGAGTGCAGACGTAGTTATATATACGGCATTCCTGTATTCCACAATGATATTTAGAAAGATACCTATACTATATTAGAAATATAAAAGTAGGTGCCTAAAATTATATATGCTGTACAATACATACTTTATACATAACCTATACATTATTACCTATTGGTCTAATCTAATATGTATATTAATTCTACAAACAATATAATATGATACATTACTATAATTATGTACCAAATTCCCTTCATTAATACCTATTTAATATTTAAATATAAATTTTTGATTGTGAATTTATCATATATAATATACATATAGACATATTTGATGAGAATCAATTAGTTTTTTTTATTAATGAGATTTATTCTATAGTTTAAACTTCAAATAAATAAATTATAATAGTACATTGTGCCATTGTACATAGGTAATTTGTATCATCATATCTTTGTCTGTAATTTTTTTATTTTAATTTTAATTGCACAATCGACCATAATTGTTTGAAATTTGAATGTTATTACAATAATATAGAACCTACTCATTACTCAATAAATATTAAATACAAATTAAATAATTAAATATAATTTTTTAGATTTATTTTGTGAAAAAAATGCAAAATACTGTACATTTTAATAATATATACCTACCCACTATTATAATATTGACTAAAAATGAATTTACAAAAGTTTGCTGGCTGATACTATACTATACTATATTATAGGTACTATATAATAGTAGGTATTTAGAAGTTATAGTATTTTATACCCGTGCTGAATGTGAAATGACTGAAATGTGAATATTCATGTCGGAACGTAATATTATTGATTATAAATACTAGTATGCTAATAAGTAATAATATTATTATATGTCGTATTTAGATTTTTAGATTCTGAGCGGATCAATGAATGTATTGGTTTTACAATGATGCGTGTTGTTTTATTTTTGTGTCTGTTACACGATTATTTAGTATAGTTGAAAAAATGCTTCGATTTTCAACTTTGGTATCTTGTTTGATGGGAAAGTGAATCTAGTTGGTACTTTTGGGAGGTCAAAATTCGACCAATAGTTTTCAAAAGTGCCTGAAAAACACTGAAAGTTTTCTGAAATTTTTCACTGAATGTTTACGACATTAGCCTTTTCTATACATTTTGACTTGTTTTGAGCGGTTTACGGATATACTCAGTTTCCAACTTTTTTTAGGTTTTTTTTCTATGAATGTCAATAAAACTTTATTGGTTGGGTAATAAAGCTTGACAATTTAGTACTAAGCTCCTACTATATGATTACAATGATATTTAAAAAAATATTAAAAATCCTTAGTCACAGTTTTTTTTATAATCATTTAAAGTTTAATTTTAGACAAAATTTATCAAATTGAGTATTTACAAATTATTAAGTAGTTTATCATTTATAAAATGTTCAACTTTTAAAGCTAAGGATTGAAAATTTAAAATAAGGTTCTTCGTAAGTAGGTTATATATATAAATTACTTTATTCACAATAATATCATCAAATATACTTATAACTCTTAGTAATATCACATAGGATGACTGACCGTTTTAGCTCAGAATCGTTTTTCTTATACAATGATATTATATCATTGAATTAAAATGTAACACCATCCACAACAGCAGGGACGGACTGGGGCAACTATTCGGCCCGGGAAATTTATATTTTGACCGGCCCTTAAAATGTCGTCATCACTAAATGTAAGACTTAAATATGGTACCAAAGTTTTGACAAATAATGGTTGCATCCTCCACCTACTCATTTTTAATTTCCTCAGGAGACAACTTAAGATTCTCAATGTACCTATTTAGTATTTAATCTTAATTAAATGTACTGCACAGTATTATGTATATATCACTTTTTCTATTACCTACTCTATAAGTGATCCATAACGGATGAAAAAAATAGGTTCGTTTAAACTACTTTAACTTGATTTTTCTAAGAGTATCCTTCTCTCTCTCTCTCTGATTTTCTCAACCCCACTCTTTCTTTTAGTTTCCATTTTAAACAACAAATAGATAAGTAAATATTACAAAATCATCAAATGATACACTATTACACTACAATAAAATAAAAAAGAAGTTCAAGAATTCACTTTTTTGAATTAAGGACGTTACATTGAACGTACGAATAACTGTACCTTTAGTTATCAGCTTATTAATTCCCATCAAATTATCACAAATTATCTTTTATATTTTACTATTATGTAGGTACAATATATTTATATTATATTTTTTATTGTGTACAATTTAATGTTAGTTATATTAAGTAAATACTGGCTGGCTAGAAGTGGATATATTAATCGAATGTAGAATAAAGTCATATTAAGTTATAAATAGGGCATGGATATAAATGCAATAAAAAAAACAATGCCTTAAAAATACGATTTTATGCACAGTAACAATATTACAAAGCTTAGTAAAATGCCCAGAAAAATGAAAAGCCAATTTAAATGAAAATAAAATAGAATTTAAATAGGTATAGTCATTAGTCGTTAGTCGTCATATATTGTGTTTCATTATAATCACTTTTCAATCAGAAGCTAATCAATATTTTTGAATAAAAAACTTTGACAGTTAGAATTGGCAATCGTTGTTTTGTATAACTGAAGTCATAGGAGCAAACAAAATAAAATAAAACGTAATAAAATAGAAATATTAGTAAGAAAAAATGATTTTTAATTATATTAAATTTCTTGAAGGAACTTAAGCTAATAGTGTTTATAAAATTGTATATATACTTATAAAATTTACGAAAAATTCCTTCAAACGATAAAAATGTCATAAAAACGTCAAAAAAATGTTCTATAAATCAGTAAAGTTAAAAAAATGCTAAATAAAAATTTAATTTTTAAATTATTTATGTATGAAATACATTTTTTGATTGGAAAGCAATGTTTAAGAGAATCCAGAAAAAAATGCAATTTATCTTCAAATTCACACCCTAGTAGTTATAAATAATAATTTCTGTTTATGCATTGATGCCGAGGGGCTGGTCAACCAGCTGAACCGAAATCTAAAATCTTTAACACCAAATATAATATAAACATTTTGCACACTCAACAGTTATGATATGAAAATACAAAATATTTATAATTTATATTTATACCTACTGATTTTGTTATAAATAAATAATAATAGGTAACTAATTATTTTTGAGTAGCGGCCCACCGGGAAAGTTCCCGGTATCCCGCCGGCCCAGTCCGCCCATCCACAACAGTGACCCACTTGTAACCTAGGTACTGTACAGGCGTATAGCAGAGCGTCACCCACTTGCCCACCTTTTTTGAATTCAAAGTGCCGCCAAATCATTACAACATACTATCGTTATGACATAGAACAATTATGACGTATGTCGTATAGCCTTAACCTAACTTTTGTTGTTGGTCGATTTTAATCACGATTGTTGTAAATAAAATAATCATGATCGTAATTTTTAAATTTTTAAATTGTAAATTACTTACAAATAACTGATAGTGATTAACTTAATTTGCAAAAGTTAAACATAATTAGTTTCATAATTCTGTGATAATATTACTGTTGGGGTGGCATCTCAAACTCGTGTCATGGACATTTAAGTAATATATCGATGGTTGCAATCAAATTATTTAATCGATAGTACAGTGTTGTTTGCTATATTATTGTACAGTTGTACACTGTTTATGATTTTAAGGTTGTTTTCAAGCCATTTTGTAATTTGTTTTGGTTTCGTTTCTACTATTCTATCACCCTTTTCACCACTCCTTCGCGTTTGGTCTAGTTTAATAATTTAAATATTTAATAATATAATATATTAATATAACATTTTATAATTTATTAAACCATAGAATGCTGAAGGCTGAAAAGCAGCAGCAGCAGCTGAGTACTTTCTGTTATAATACGTAATTATATTTCTACATTTATTATCATTTTTTTTTTTTATAAATTATACCTAGTAGGGTAATACCATGATAAAATAAATTATTATTTTATCATGGGTAATACTATTTACTTTTTAGTTTAACCTAAACTATTTTTGTGTTTAATTTGTATAGTTATCGCCGTAACTACTAGAATCCAAACGTTTTTGAATTTAATTTTGAATTGACGTTCAATGATCCTCAGTACCTTGCATCTATTGTGTTCGTTTTAAAATTTAACAAGTGAGTGTGCTCTTATCTTGTATATTACATAGCTGGTGTTGTTTGATATTGATGAAATTAAATTAAAATATGTAATCAGATGTATTGCTTATTTAATAGTGTTGTGTTAATTATATAATTAATATTTCTAGGTATTTTAATGGTTTTATTGTGCAACAGTGTGAATGACTGAATTGCCTAGAGATTTTAAATCGAAAAAAATCACTGTAAAAATTGATAATATGAAACGCAGAAGCTATGGTGATTCTCCTCCTATGTCACGTAAAAAACGTCATAGCAGTATTAACAGGTATGATGGTAGTTCAGATGAGCGAGGATCCCCTGAACGTGTACGCCGTAGAGCACGCTCACCACCTAGTCCTAGGCCATCCAGGTATTCAGAACGTGACGAATTTGGCCGCTCTAGGGATTTGGATCGTTCGCATCCCACTTATAAAGTGTTGTGTGTGAGTGCTTTACACCCAAAAGCTAGTGACGAACAAGTCAAAGAAACATTGTATAGAGAATACCGCAAATTTGGTGAATTTTCTGTTAGAATATCACATGAACTAGAAGAAAGAGTAGCATATGTGTGTTTTAGAAGCTCAGATGATGCTAGAGATGCCAAACACAGTAAGCCTAGAATAAGTTTGTTTGATAAAATAGCTTTAGTCACACCTGTTTATGAAGGTCGTAGTTCTAGAGATCATTATGAACCAAGACCTAGACGTTCTCGATCCCGAAGTTTTTCTCCCGATTTTGATCGATACTATCATAGATCTCCTATTCCTCAAGAACTTCATAGGCCACATCCAGCTGATAGGTTTTATGAAAGGTTACCATATGGTACTCTTCCCCCCATGCTGCCTCCACGAGACTTCCGAGAAATAGGTTTGCCACCATTACATCCTCATGAACTTATGATACCTCGAGGACCGTTATTACACCATGTGGCTCCTATGCACCCTCATTTAGGGCCGATTCATCCGTTGTATGGACCACCAAGACATTTTATGCCACCATTTAGACCACACCCTCATCCTCACTTGTTGCATGACAAAAAAGATAAATTTCCAAACTATTTGCAACACATTCCACCAGAAGACGACCCGTTAGCCACACGTACATTGTTTGCTGGAAATTTAGAAATTTCTATTTCCGATGAAGAACTTCGCCGTATATTTGGTAGATATGGAGTTGTTGAAGATATTGATGTTAAAAGACCATTGCCGGGAACAGGAAATGCATATGCATTTGTTCGTTATCAAAATTTAGATATGGCTCATAGGGCTAAAGTCGAATTATCTGGTCAATATTTAGGAAAATTTCAATGTAAAATTGGCTATGGAAAATCTACACCAACACAACGAATATGGGTTGGTGGTTTGGGTCCTTGGACATCACTTGCTCAGCTAGAAAGAGAATTTGATAGATTTGGTGTTATTAAAAAAATTGAGTATGTCAAAGGTGATATTTGCGCCTATATACAGTTTGAAAGCATTGATGCAGCAACTGCAGCTGTCAAAGAAATGAGAGGAGTGGCTTTAGGAGGCCCAGAACATAAACTGAGAACAGATTTTGCTGATGGAGGTGTCTGTGGCAGTCCTACATTAACCTATTCATCAAAGTCTAAGTCATCTCATGACGATGCTGCAGCAACTGCAGGAGATTTACGAGAACTCACCAGACGAGATGAATATCCATATGGTTGGCCAGATGGTGAGTATCCTTCTTATAGTTCCAGAGGTTATCGTAAAGGTCGTACAGAATATGGTGAAGAAAGCAGAGAATTTGGCAATTATGAAAATGGTCGTTCATTCAAGCAGCGTTCTGTTTCTGATATTGGTTCTCCTCGATCACCACTTCACCAATCGATTGACAGTGATGTAGAATCCGAAGAAGGAGCAATACAATCTGCAGGTCTTTTGGGTTCTGTTCGTACTCTAGTAGATTTGGCTCGTAAATGTACTGATATATGGCAAGGCAGTCTTGTATTAAAAAGCTCTCAGTTCCCAGCTAAATGCTATTTAACTTCTGGTGATCCAAATGTCATAGAATCAATGATGAAAGATGAGGATGGTAAATCAACTTTACGCATAACTCAACGATTACGTTTAGACGAGCCAAAGTTGGAAGACGTTTCTAAACGTATAATAACTGCTGATATGCATGCCATATTTTTGGCAATGCCTTGTTCTACTAATTCAATTTCCAACGATGATGCATTGGTACAAATTAGACCTTTACGTAATTTAGTATCCTATTTAAAACAAAAAGAGGCAGCAGGGGTTATATCATTAATAAGTAAAGATCCTGAACCAGCCGGTGTGTTATATGCATTTCCTCCATGTGAGTATTCAGCCAAATTATTGAAACGAAGTGCAAAGAATTTAAGCAGTGAAACATTAAAAGATGATCATTTAGTTGTGGTAGTAGTAAGTGGGGGTGTTTCGTAGTAAGTTATTCATTTTTTAACTACATTTTCAAGTATATTTACCTATAAATAGTATATACAGGACGTATCCATATTTTTTTTTATATCAACAACATTTAATAATTATTATAAATTCTAATAATACTAGAACACATTTTAGGTTTAATATTTTTATTGACAGTTTACTTGACTGTTGATGTTACAGTATTTATGTTCTTAATTTGAAAGCATAAGTCCATAAGAAAACAAGTTATTGTGGTTTATGAAAGCTGTGTAAAAGTTTTTAATATGTGCTTAAAATTCAATTAAAAATGTCAGTTTAATTAATTCAAGTTCACACGCACAGCTTAATTACATTTAAAACATGTGGAGTGCGTAACATCATTTATACACATTGTGCTAATGTATCTAGTTCGTAGAATACTATTATAAGTTTATTGATGTGTATTAAAGTGATTCAATATTTTTGATAACCATTTAAAATATTAAAAAATGCATTATTTTATTATTGATAAGTGTTAATATTTATACCGATTTAATTAAACCGTTTCTCTTATATTTTTGAAAATATGGTGTAAATTATCAAGCAATCCAGTTAACTTGGATTGTTCAGTAATCTTTTTTGAAGTGTTGTAACTATTTTAGAAAAAATAAATAGTTTTATAATTAATTAACTAATCTTGTGCGTTATAGTAGCTTCATAATAAAGTGTAATTCGCGATTCAAATGTTGTTCTTTTCAAAAATTATCTTAAATTATGTATTACATAGTAATGTTATTTTTGCTTATTTCAATTAATTACACAATTACTTAAATATGAAAATTGGTGTTTCTTTTTTTAAAATTTTATTAATAGAGTTTAAATATGGAAGTTAAGTAAATGTTGTGTCGGGTATCTACAATTTTTGGTGTTGTGCTCAGTGTTTACAGAGTTTGGTGTTTTATTTTTTATGAAAATATGTGTAAATAATGTTGTATACAAATAGTGATTATTGAAATTGAAGAATTATAAACATTAAAATTAAAACTTTATTACATTTTATTACAGGCTGATTAATGGAATTCACATCATAAAAAGTATTTTTTGAAATTTTAAATATAGGTTTGAAGACTAAAATTTGAAATTACCTAACCCTTGTGTTTTTATTATCGACACTTCAATTTTGCATCAGGCATTATTTATGATTTATTATGAAGTGCTTAAATTTTCATATCTCACATTATTATTAATATTTGTATTCTAAAATTCATTATAACTTGCTTAATGAAAACCAAATTAATATTTTCCTAATATTGTGTCTAAAATAGGAATAATGACTAAGTAGTTTAATTATTATTCTTCATACCAAATTACAGTGTTGTTAAGATTCCTTTTATATAGGAATCCGTTCAATTCCTCGTTCCTCGTGGCTCATGAGTTATTATCATAATCACTAATCAGAACACAGTCATATGTGAATGAAAAATTGGTAGTCTCGTCTATTTTTTTTTTATAGTTTAAAAACAAGATAAGTAAATAAAAATGCAAAATTTTTCTTAACAACACTGCCGAATTACTTATTATAAATAGGTACATGGTATTCATTTATATGATTGGTGGGTAATTAAACCTCACTTTGTTTACTTAGGGTATGTTTATTAACTAATTAAATTTATATCAGCAGACCTAACCTAACCTACTAATACACATTTAAGATATTATAAATTAGACAAATACAAGAACATAATTTAGCCTATTCTGTGATTTTATTGTCTAACCAAATTCTGTCGACTAGAAACTTGTGATAGAAAAATATTAATATTAAATCCAAATTTTTTAGCTTACCTATCCAAAATTCGTAATCTGCCCATTTGAGGTCATAATATGTGTAACCGCAACCAAATTATGTCCTAAATGTATAAGCCTTAGATCACTGTAGGTCCTAAACGGTAAGACTAACAAACAAATAACCATACATAATTTTAAGATCAAAAAGCTGGTATTCCTAAAATCTTGATGAAGTATTGTATGAGTTTTAAAATTTCCTTAACTTCCCGTCCACGACATTCTTTTATGTAGGTATGAAATTAGAATGTTACACAGTTTCATTAATAAATTAATAATCATCCACTTATGTACTTTGGTTTTGTATAGGTTAATCAACGAAGATTGGTAGAACCACGACTGAATAAAAATAATTTTGTAATTTATGCAAATAATTACATAATACATGAATACATTAAAAAACCAAAGGAAAATAATAGTAAGAAAATGTAAATGCATTATTTGCAGATGAAAACAACCTGAATAGAGCTTTGCACATTTAATATTAAAGGTTACTGAACTATAAATGTATAATATTATGATGACAGTTTGGTGTTTATGGTACATAAGACTTACCATTAAAAATATATTAATAATTTAACTGAGTGCCTAATTTATTGCAGAATTACTATTAAACATTTAATTGATTTTTTATATTTTATTTATTTTACTTTTCTTTATTCAATTTTGATCAAAATTAATAGTAATTCTGCAATAAACTAGGCACTTGGTTAAATTATTAATATATTTTTAATGGCAAGTCTTATGTACCATAAACACCAAACTGTCATCATATTATTATACATTTAAGACGCTACAACCATTGTTGGTCTCAAAATTGCATATACCAAACCCCTTATAGGCTATAGCAAGTTATAGGCCTTATGTTGTACCTAAATGGTGGAATCTTAGATCATATACTAGTATATTAATACCTAGTTGATAAAAATATTGTTTTTGAAACAAAAATTGTCCCCACAAAGTTATAATAACTGCCAACAATTATAACTTTAAATGCTTACAAAAAAAATTGTGTATCTTGAATATTTTAACCTGCTATTACAACAACTTAGAAGAAACGGGGATTTATATTTTGTTGGAAAATACTTTGAATACATTTTCTCAGAACCATATTTATTAAGTTTCTATTAGGTACATTTCATATGTCTATACATAGCAGATTAATATTTATTAAGTTATAACGTGTATAAAAAATGCTAATATACATTTTAAAAAATTTCAAGTACCAAGGCCTATCTATAATCTATGCTTATTTCTTTTTGAAAAACAACAACATTCAATTAAAATTAATTAAAATCACGTGTTTTCCTTAATTTATTTTTCTCAAATTATTAAGCTGTAAATTATGATGTTGATGTTGAAATATGTAACATTTTGCTATACTATAAAAAGTGTTTACAAGACTACAAATACATAAATAAAAAATAAACATTTTTAAATCAATACAATTACCTATCATTTATCGTTCCGATAAGATTTCAAATTTAGGTTTATGACACAATCATTTTTACGACCTACTAATTCAAATGTTGACGATATTAGATAATATACTTATGTATGAATAATATAATAGATCAGGGGTGGCCAGCGAGAAATGACTTGCGAGCCACCAAATATAGTAATAAATATGGAAGAGCCAAAATGTAAAAAAAAAAAGGTCATATTATTATATAATTTTTATATATATATTTATATATCAGATATTGTATTATTGTAAATAAGATAAGTTAAGGTATGGTATTTAATAAAATGTGAAGAATAAGATAACAATAATTGTACAATAATCTCAAATTAAATTTTATCTTCATAAATACGATAAATATCAAAATATCATACAGACACACATGGATAATGACTGCGTTAACAACATATAGTCCTGATTTTTTCTATACACTGTAATTTAATAATTTAATTTAATTTAATAAAATATACTTTTTCAAATACATAAATTCATATAAAAAAAATTTTTTTTTTAAATGTTACGATGAGATGCGAGTCGCAAAAGTCTATGACTATGAGCCGCGGTTTGGCCACCCCTGTAATAGATAATTTAATAACTACCTATGTTATTTTGTTATTATTCAATAATTAATATAAACCTATTGTTTTTAGAAACTTGAAACATTCTACTGTTACTTAAAAAATTTCAAATTTAAAACAAGATCCCACGTAAGTTGTTCTACTAGCTATTCAAAAATATTAAATATTATAGACACAATTGGTTATAAGCAGGGCTCGTAAGTTCATGCCCTAAAAAATGCCCAAACAAGCATGCATTTATGCACTAAAAATTTGCAAAGTATGCCTTAAGAAGTTAAAAAAATATGCATTTATACACACTAAATATCTAAAATTATGCACTTAAAAAAAATCATAAACAATTTTTGAAATAACATGAATTATCCATTCATTTTAGATTCTGAGTGGAACGAGGAAGCTAGTGGTTTTGCAATGGTGTTTATTTTATTTTATTTTTTTCTTATATCCTGTATACAAAATATTTACCAGAATAAGTGCTTCGATTTCAACATATAGTACCTTATGTTTTAGCAAATTAGATCAAGATGGTACTTCAGAGAGGTCATTTTTTGATTTTCTCAATAATTATTTAATACCACGAGAAAAACTACTGACAAATTACCAAAAACTGCTAAAAATGGGATTTTAATTTCTAACAATTTGTCTATCAGTATAGCAACGAATAAAAAATAATAATATTAATTCAACTATAATAAGGGGCTATACTAAATAATAACAATATAAAAAATCCAGGCTGACTGCCAGTTTTCCCTCAGAATCGTTTTTGTTATACAATGATATTATATCATTGAATTCAAATTTAATACCATCCATTACAGTGACCCACTTGTAACCTTCTGTACAGCAGAGTAACATCCACTTACCTACTTTTTTTATAGTTATATTTTATTTTTTAAATCAATTAAAAAAAATAGATTTTATAAACTATGCTTGAGCCTCCATGAACTGTACATCTTTGTCATTAATTCATTTTAATCTGAAACATATGAAACAAATTTATTCATTAACACTGAATACTTAATTACATTGTGCTATCAGATATTTTTTTAATGTTGTCAAGCTTTAATGAAAGACAGTTATTTGGTACTACATTTTTGAATTTTGATAATGACCTTTCAACGTCAGTAGAGGTGATTGGTGCATATTTAAAATACGGA